GTTGTGCCCAGCCGAAATCGGGATATCAATCGCCGGCTTATAATGGTTTGGCCGATCGACGGGAATTGTCATCGTTACCTGCGCCTATTACGGCGCATTACGGCGCGTTCCGTTCGGCAAACGGAAACGACCGTTGTGTACGCAAACAAAACGAACGCGCATTACGTCGTTGTTATTATCATTGTAAATTGCCTTATGCCGAAATAATAAGCGGCGAACAGATACGCGCCGGCTCTTTTCGGGCGTACCCGTCGCCGCCGTTCGCGCGCCGAGTACACGCACGCACGCGCGTATGAATATAATACCGTCGTACGCGACGACAGTGTTTTTTTTTTTTCCATTTTTTTTTTTTTTCGAACAACGTCGAACCCGACGAAAATAAAAAAAACACACACGCAGACACGTACGTGAAAAAAAACGTTTTCATTTCGTTTCGCAGTTTTCGCGATTTCGTTCGGCGCGTTACGGTATCGCGGCGGTACGCGGGCACGGCCGGGTCGGTTCGACGCGAAACGAGACGGGACCCGCCCGCGTCTGTGAAACGCGAGCCGTCACCGCGCGATCGAAGCGAAATTATTATTATTAGTCACCGGCTCCCGCGTGAGTATTATGCAATTCGGTCGCGCGTTAACGACAACCGCGCAGGGTTTCACGGGCGCGGTTCGACAGCCGGCGCGACAGTGTAACGCGGTCGGCGAACGTGACGCGGGGCGGCGGATAATGGTTTTTCGGAAAGGGGAAAAATTTAAAAAAAAAAAAACCGTACAGTTTTCTCTTTTGGGATTTCGTCGGTTATCGATTCGGAAAAGTCCGACACGATGCGGATTACGCGCGTGGCCCGTTCTACACAGAGAGACCGAAAAAAAAAACCCCCCGACGTAGCGATAATAACAACGACGTGTCATTTGGACGGCGTGGGCGGCGGGGTGACGCGGCGACACCTGTTCTGGCTGTTCTCATGACGCCCGGATAGGTACTTACGTGCGTAAAACACGTTCTCCGGCCGATGGCCTGTCAAAATAATGCACGCGGTTGTTTATTATTATTATTATAATAAGAGAGTAAGTAGGTACGTATGCGTTATATAGTTTTCGGTCGTTTTTTCGAGTGTTCTTCTTCTTCTTTTTACGACGACGGCCGCGGCAGTCGTCGCGGCTAGACCGCGCCGCGTCATAAGTCATCCCGTACACAAAAAGGGGGAGGGAAAAAAATGGGGTTTTTTTTTTTTTTTTTGTCAATTTCAAAACCGGCTCGCTTAATACACCGCGTATATAATATTGTGCGTGCACCGTGAAATATGTACGCTGGCGGTACACGTGGCGCACACGATTCGCAGGCAAAGGACCTTCGAGAATGACAGAAAAAAAAAAAAAAAAAAACATAGTTCGTACATATGAGATTTACGCGGGCGGCGAAAGAAACGGAAAAAAAAAAATAAATAACGCGCGTTGCACAAGTAACCCATTTCTCGGTAAGCGTCGGTGGACGCGTACCTATAAACGAGCATACACCGAAAGTTTTGAAAAATTTCACAACGATTCGTCATAATATCATTTTTTTTTTTAATCGCCTGTTTGTTTAAGGCGTATATTTGATCATATTATATCCGTGGGGGGGGACTTGGCGTTTTTACAGACTTTACGTCCATCAACAAAAGTAGATTGCTTTACGCCCAAACCAACTGCTTGTCGTTTTCTACATAGTTGTACCACCATATAAGTATTATATTCTAAACGGAACGAAGAATCTATTGGTTTTACAATGATTTTTTCAAATTTATATATTTTTTTTTATCTGTGAACAACTTTTCTACTAGAAATATTGTAACGATTGACAAGTGTGTAGTACTTTTCCTGAAAGAAAATTTGACTGGGGAGGTACTTTAGCGAGATCATTTTTTCATTTTCCCAGGAGTTTTCGCAATAAATGGGCAAAACGTATGAAAATAGGGGAAAATAGGTACAGTATTAAACAAATGAAAACGTTTAATGCTTTTACCGTAATATGACATATTTCATATATATTGTTGACAAAGCAACTCTATCAACCGTACTCCGCTCAGAATCGTTTTATCGTTAGCAACGGTTCATCGTTACGTATACATTTAATTCCCGACTATATCCTACCTTCCCAACTTCCCATCTACAACAGTGACTGCACCCGACCCCATTATCCTAGGACAGCTTTTTAAAAATAAAAATAAAACTGTTTATTGATAAAAATTAATAATTCTTACACACATATATATATATATATATACATGAGTTGACGGCAAATCAATTGAGAAGACGTGTTGTGATGGTGAGACTCGAAACTTCCGCGGTATTAAAACATTGTGGGGGAGAGTGGTTAAACGAATGATAAATGTCGAAATGATACTAAATAATATATATATATATATTAATTTTCATTAAAAAGAAATTGACGACGAGTGTACGAGTTCAGTAGTAAAAGTTTCCGTTGTAATAATAATAATAACACCGCGAGCCGAAAATGTCGGTAAACCGAAAAAAATGCAAAATTTCGTTTTCGAATATTACGACGATAGAGTCATTTCGCGAGTATCGGTCGTCGTGATCGTTCGACCGTCGAGACTTTTAATCGGGTAGCACCCGGATCGCGACACACCGCCCGGGTATCGGGGGGTAGGGGGAGGGAGGGGGAGGAACGAGCCGGGGGTTTCCGCGAGCGGCCGCGGAGACGGGGGG